CTGGCCCGATCCCCTCCGCTCCAGCCGCTGGGTGGGTACTGTCTTCCAGGTCACTGGGAGGAGGTTCAGAATGTGGCCCTGGCCGCTCTCGGCAGGCACAGCCGGGCCTCCCTTGTGGTTTCTGTCCTGTATTCGCTGTCCGTGCCCGTTTGAGGAGACAGCTTTGCTGTTGTCGGTGTGGTGTCATTCAGGAGTGAGTGCAACTACAACAGGACGTGCCTTAGGCGGCGTGGACCCTGACGTGCAGGTCTTTCTTGGCACCGAAGGAGCACAGTCCCTCGAGAACCACAACCCAGTGGCCTAAACCAGGGGTGGGGAACATCGGGCCCGAGGGCCGTAGGAGGCCTGAGAACAAATTGGGTCTGGCCCTACCCAGGCATTAGGGGCGAGTGAATGAAATGTCTAACCAAACACAGCAGGCTAATTTTAAGCTGATGATTTTGTGTGGCCTGAGAATGATGTTAGACATTTGGCAGAAAACGTACCCCCGCCCCGCCCCGCCCCTGCCGAAGCCGGGTTTGTGCAGCCCAGCCCAGTGGCAGCTCATTGAACACCTGTGTTCTAGGTTCTAGAGGTCTGGTGGCTGTAGCACTGGATTTCCAAGGATAACTCCAGTATCCACGATTCTGGTTTATGTTTACCAAGTCTGCACGCTGAAAAGTATGCTGACAGTATAGGTAATAGTAATGAAACCAGCTCAATCGGTGGATTTTGGTTTCCGTTTATAGCATTGAATTCTCTTCCCCCGCTGCCTTTTCCCGTTGTTTTATAGGCCGTATCAATACAGCGTCTGTAAGATAGGGCAGTATTCACAGGTAGATAGAAAACAAACCTTCTTCCAGAGATGGACAACCACAAAGAATTATGATGGAAAAGGAGCAGGAACTCATTCTAGCACGTTCGGAAATACGAGTGAGCAGGTAGACACTCCCTGAGATGGTGGCCGGGACTTCCGCTGAGTGTCCTTCGTGGTAGATGTAGTTTTAGTTGGCCTGACCTGTGCGTTTTAGGGATTGTTTGTAACTTGGATAAGAGAAGCCAGTGACAGGTTCCTGTCTCTGTTGGAAACACTCTGATCTGAAAACTCTATTCCCTAGACTTTGGTAACAGAAATGATAATACCGGGTGTTGTTCTAAACCACTTCCGTAAGAGAACTCACTGTTTTCTGTTTCTGTGAAGACAGCATGACATCCACACATACTTTATTGGATTGATAACTGATTGAAAACAAAACAGTCAAACAGCTGAAACCGGTGTGGCTCAGTGGATAGAGTGTCAGCTTACGGACTAAAAGGCCCCGGTTTGATTCTGGTCAAGGGCATGTACCTTGGTTATGGGCACATCCCCAGTAATGGGGGGGGGGGGGGGGAGAGAGGGGTGCAGGAGGCAGCTGGTCGATGTTTCTCATCAATTTTTCTAGCTCTCTATCCCTCTCCCTTCCTCTCTGTAAAAAATCAATAAAATATATATTTTTTTAAAAACAGTCTTACCCCAACCCTGCCCTCCGGTCCCATTGACTCCATGCGGTTCCAGTCGGGCGGCTGTGAGAGCCTCAGGGAGGCCTCAGCGGGGCCTGCAGGGCGCAGCGTGGACATGAAGGCTGACAGCCTCCCCATCGCCTGGCTGCTTAGACCCACTCTTTCCACATTTCAAATCTGTGTTGAAAATCGACGCGTACATTTTGTGGGGAGGTGTTTTTTCTCTCCGAAACATGGTAATAAGCTCACAGCTGGGTCATATAAAGGATGACATCCTAGAAATGGAAAATGCAATTGTCATGGGTTTTCAACAGCACACTTCCCTCAGGCCGTGGACATTTTCCAGACGCGTTTTCTATCTGGTGTTTTGGGAAAACAACAAAGTAAACACCTGAAGGACACTTCTTTGTTATCCTGCGGTACTGGAGGCAGCAGTGGCCTCGGACCCCGCACTGCCGCCTGCTAACTGGAGAGCCTGCTTCCGGGGCAGCTCATGTCACCCACCCCTCACCCTCCATTCACAGCCTGGGGAGAGGGTGTGTCCTGACAACTGGAGAAGGCAGCAGGTCTTAAGTAGCCTGTGAAGCCATCAGAACATAAGCGTTCTCTTCCCCTTTTCCGCAGTCCTCCGTCAGTGACTTCCTGCTTTTAAAAACATACCTGAGTCATTTTTTTTAATTGATTGCAGAGAGGAAGGGAGGGGGGGAGAGAGAGATAGAAACATCTATGATAGGAGAGTCTCATTGATCAGCTGCCTCCTGCACGCCCCCTACTGGGGACTGAGCCTGCAGCCCAGGCATGTGCCCTGACTGGGAATCGAACCCAGGACCTCTGGGTCCATGGGGTGACCACAGCCAGGATACCTGCGTCATTTCGACATCACTTACAATGCCAGCCTGCTAAACCCCTCAGCGCGAAACTAAGACTGAGCTCTCCACGTTAGCTCGGGAGGCGAGTGCATCTGAAACCGCGTCCGACAACCTCCGTGTCTCATTCCCCGTGTGGACCGCGGAGCCGTCGCTGCCCGGAGCACGTGTGAGGCAGCCCTCCTTTCAGAGCAGAGTGCTTACATGGCAGCCTAAAAGCCTTACGAAAACGTAGTTGGCTTTTTAATTATTTCAGAGAGAAACCACAAAAACACAGATGTGACTGTTTTAACTAAAGAAACCACGCTAGACCCGTCGTGACCAGCTGATGACAGATTCTTCCCTATGAAACTGAAACCCATCTGGTTATACTTCCCTCTCCTCTCCTCTCCTCTCCTCTCCTCTCCTCTCCTCTCCTCTCCTCTCCTCTCCTCTCCTCTCCTCTCTTCTCCTCTCTCCTCTCCTCTCCTCTCCTCTCCTCTCCTCTCCTCTCCTCTCCTCTTTTCTCCGTGAGGAGCTTGGTATTTTTAAAGCACCCCTGTTTCCCTCTAGAAAGTGGGGGAACGGCTGTCTTGGGTCCGTGCTGTCAGGTTTGGAGTTAAGAATTCTCCATCCTCCAGAGCTCTGCCCCGAGCTGGAGCCTTGTGCCTGTCTGTGGACGGGCCCCGTGCCTGTCTGTGGACAGGCCCCGTGCCTGTCTGTGGACGGGCCCCGTGCCAGATGTGGCACTCGAAGAAGCATGCACGTCGGCCCTGGTTCAGCAGGCGCAGACCATTGCATGCCCAGAGGTACACGTGGCATCGCTGCATGCCTTGCATTTCTCCAGCCAAAGAGCTGCTAGTGTAGACGTTGCATGTTTAAAAATTGAACGCAGACGAGAGCATGTTTCAATTTTTAAAAAGCCACCGGCTTACCAAGTCCGCATGTCTAAAACCAGGGACCTGGAATGGTGCACCCCTCTGTATGGTCATGCCCAGGTTACCCGAGAACTTAGCGAACCACCGTGCGTTTCCTGATAAAACTTAAAACTGAATAAGGCCAGGGTGCAGCTAGGAACACAGCCACGGCTTCTAAACGCACCTGTTAATAAAGACGGGTTTAACGGTCTTAACGATCCTCTGCTGGATCGAGCTGGGCTATCAGGAATTTATTTTATTTTATTTAAAAAAAATTTTGCCAATGGTGCCAAGTAATGTGAATGCTAATATTGCTTAAGAAAATTAAGTTCCTTTTGCTAAACAGATAATCATAAGATGAATCCGCAAACAGCTTACTACCATCCACTCGCTCCAACAAAGAACACCTAGGACGACCAAACCCTGACAAAAGAAATCAGACGAGCCAGGCGCCCAGTGCTGCCCTCCTCTCTCGTGTCCATGATGATGCAGTGGGAGCGATGCTGCCCGGAGGCGGCCGGTAGGGCCGGCGGCGTCTTGAACCGCTGTCCCAGCAGATGTGCCGCCTCTGGAACAAGCACCTTGCTCCTTCACCACTGGGTTTCCAATGTCTTCCCCCCACTGGGTTTCCACACGTGTTCTCCCACTCACGTTTATCCAGAGAGTAAACTCCATCGGCTTTGCAGTAAATGTAAACGTGCCAATAGAACTGCAGGCACCGGGAGAGGCGTTACTGACCTCCGTGTTAGAGGTCCACATTCCCAAGACCCACGTCAGACAGACAGACAGCCAGGTGGCCCGCCAAGCCGTGAAAGACAGCCCCCGCCCTGAGAAACTGCCACTTCTGCGGGGGTTAGACCCCGCGGTCACTGGCATGTGATCCTTCTGCCATGAAGGCAGGGTCTTGGCTGGTCAGTGAGAGAACTCTTCCCAGAGCTCAGGCCTCTGCCCTGGCACCTAGTCTGCCTGCGTCAGGGGGCCACGCTCAAACACCTCGGCGCGTGCTCACGTTAAAACGCGGACTGGAGGCCGTCGTTGGCAAACCCTTCGCTGAGGTCAGCTTTCCAGGGCTCGGGCAGGGTTCCGCTTGGATGTGGTCAGCACACCCTGTTGGACAGTTGGAACCAAGTCCCTTCCGTGCAGTATGGGGGTGGGGAGGTGGCAAGTGTCGTAGGAGTATGGGGGTGGGGAGGTGCCCGAAACATCTCTTCCAGGAAGCACGTCGGGAGCACGGACGCCAGGCTCCCCTGGAGTGAGCCCGAGAGCTGCGCAGTGTGAGCTCAGGGCCCAGGCCCCTGGCAGTCCTGAGTCTGAGCAAAGGCAGCACGTTCCCTAGGCCAGGCCGCACCCTAGCTGGCATCGCCTGGGATTATAGGAGCTGCAGGGCGGCGGTGGTGCCTCCGGCTGAGGAGAAAGCTGCTTGACCAGTGAACATTGTCTGAGGCGCACACGTTACTGTAGCGCCCGATCCGTGAAGTAGTTTTGGTTCTGCTTTGTGTTGGGAGCAGGTGGCGGCAGAGCCGGGGTTCCGGAAGGGCCCTGCCTTCCTCTGGAGCATGTCCCCCTGCAGTTAAACCGGTTTCTTTGGCCCTCAGTCCTCAAATGGTCTTTTTCCTTTTTCTTCTTCGTTGTCTCTCTCTCTCTCTCTCTTTCTCTCTCTCTTTTTTTTTTTAACTTTCGAGGGAATGGGACTGCCCTTCCTGGACCTGGTCCCTTTCGCTCCGTAGTTATCACCTGGTGTCTTGTGTTTCTCTTACAGAGTGAAAGAATTGAAAAGGGCCAAGGAACTTGAAGACACACAGCAGCATCCCTTAGCAATGTGACATTGCTTTTCAGACTGTTTTCATTTCTGTTTTTAGCAGAGACATGCAACAACACACAAGCTCGCGCGCACACACACACACACACATATGCACGCACTCACACACACGCACACACTCACACACAATCCCTCTGCAGTTTTGGAGAGATCAGCTGCAGGATTTTAACAGGAATGTTTTGTTCATTGCATTTGCACTTTCATGGACAACTTTTAATTTGATCAGCAAGACATCATGGAACTCAAATCTTCTGTCGGATCGCGGGAAAACCAGACGCCGCGAGGAAGGGAGAGGCTCCCTCTGGGGAAGCAGCCGCTTTCCCGCTCACATAGGGCTGTACTCAAACATCGCGTGGAAACTGTACAAATATTTATACCAAAAAATATAGGGAAGAGGCGGTGGGATGCACTGGCAACGAGAGAACACTGTTCCCGCACCTGCCAGTTCCTTCCGAGAAGTCGACTCTTCGGGATTCGTTGTCGGCGGAGGGCTTCGGTCATCCCAATCTCGATTGCGTCCGTGCGTTCTCATTTCCTTCACTGTTATGTTTGTTCTTGTTTTGACCTCTACAGCACACTTAATGCAACTTTTAAAAAATCTGCAGGTTTTTAATGTCTTGTGGAAATTTGCAGAGGGGCGGGCGTGGCAAACGGGTAATGCATGGGAAATAAGGAGAAACCGCTTCCGGCGTCAAGAGTTGTTTTCTTGTCCCCACCCCCTCCCAAGAACCTGCGCGGAATCATCGCATCCCTCCTCTCATGTTCAGCACTTTAATTTTTTTGCCTTACTTTCATGTGCAATGAGGGTTACTCAGAGAATCGGTAAAGCATGTAGCTTTCTCCGGTAACCCTGGGAAGTGTAGTCACTCCGAGGAATCATAAACCTTGCCTGGACATTTGCCACCTAAAAGATCAGTGTGGTGCTGCGTTCTGGCCAGTAAATTCCATATTTTTGGCTATATCTCATCCAAACGGAGCAGTTTCTGTGTATATATAGAAGGTAGAGATGGAAAGTGAGAAATACTTGAAAGGGATTATATTAATTGCTAAATATTTTATTCACAAAGGTCAGTAACATGGCAAGATAAAATTATTTGTATAGTTTTGTCTGAATGAGCAAGAAAAATGTGGATGTATTGTTTGTATATATTGTATATATTAAAACAAAAGAGATATGTGCATGAAATCAAGAAAAAAGAAATGAACAAAAGCAAAGCATTAGTGGCTATGGTCTGTAAAATGAAACAAAAAAAACTTTATTTCACTATAAGAGTATTTTATTTTAAATGTTCTTTAGAAGAACATTTTGCTAAAGCATGACTAAACTGCAAAAAATTTTAAAAAAAGAGCTACTGTATTTAGACTTAGGAGAAAAGGCAGAGTAACATTACTTAAAAAAAGGATATGTTTACATTTAATTTTGGCTATCAGGAATTTATTTTATTTTATTTAAAAAAAATTTTGCCAATGGTGCCAAGTAATGTGAATGCTAATATTGCTTAAGAAAATTAAGTTCCTTTTGCTAAACAGATAATCATAAGATGAATCCGCAAACAGCTTACTACCATCCACTCGCTCCAACAAAGAACACCTAGGACGACCAAACCCTGACAAAAGAAATAGTCCAAAAGGTAGAAAAAAAATGTCTCACATTTTCATATCTCCTGCTGGAAATCAGAAAATGTAATAAAAAGAATTGCACACAAAAGAAATAGCTAAAACCTTAAAAGATGCAGACTGGTCCCGTAGGGATGTCACGGCATATGACTATTTTCACAGAACGAGGAGCCAAAGAAATCGGACGCTTTTAAACATTTCAATACCAACGTCCAATCCAGGAGAATCAAGTTCACATCTGCCGATGCCAGTTTAAAAATTCCCAGGTTACGTTTCAGGACCAGTTGGTGTCAAGCTGACATAGTCGTGCGTTGTTGTTGTTTTTTTTGTGTTTTTTTGTTTTGTTGTCTTGGTTCTGGCTGCCAACTGTAAGTTACAACTCAAGGCTCGTTGTGAAGCCTAAAAATATTCACAAATAAGCTTTTAAACTGGTGTCTTTTCAGAAGGAAGGTAGACACAACAGGACCGAGGTTAAAAACTGGGGTCAGTGCTCTTGGTGCCTTTTCTATAATTGTACTTGTTTTTTAATTACTTCCTTTCACTGCCAACCTCAAATTACTGTACAGTATACGTCTTACTGCTTGTGATCAGCTTCGACCACAGTGGCAGCCCCATGGCTAGTCGCCACCTGTACATTTGTAAACTGAGCTGACTCGGTTTTGTTCTTTTCAATGTGTGGGTTATGTTACAGCTGTTGCAGTCCCACCCTCACCCCCACAACCGCTTTTATTTTACACAGTTTTAACCTACAGGAGGACACAGTCATTCACACACCCACACACACACCTGCATTCCTAAATGGGAATAGAACGTGAAAGCCAGCTCTCTCAGAATATCCTATCTTAAATGCCGAATCTAGATGTTTATTCCATTTATTCTGGTACAAAAAAAAAAAAAACACACAAAACTGATCTTTTGACAAGAGTAATGACCTCAGTGGATTTGCTTTTTAACCCTCACACTCATTCTATTGTGTTGGTGTTCCACATGCTACATTACTCGCTGAGTGAGTTAGATGGTTCGGGAAGAGAAAGACGGATGGAGAATTGGGAGGGTTCTCGTGGAGGGGACAGGAAGCAGCAATACAAACTGTGAATCCTAGGGGAGGTGCCGACACACTCCCGCCGAAACGAAGCACTTCTGACCCCCTTTTCCTTGGTTATGAATCTTCATTTTGAATAGAAGATGATAGATAAGCGCAGCTTTCTTGGATAATCTGAATTCCCAAGTGCCAGGAGTAGGATTTCATTATATATTAAAAAAAAATAGCTAATCTTATTCTGTCTCCTGAAGATTTCATTGCTATTCTTGTTACCCATTTGAAATCAGCTGTACTGTGTGAACGAAACAAAGACACTAACTCGAACCCCTTTCTGGCTGCACGGTCGCTTATGGCAGTTCCACACAGTAGTTGGCGCCCAACGGGGGGTCCCTGAGACTTGCATGTAAAACTAGTCTAGATGTCTCCTTTTTTGTAAGTTTTATTTTTGTAATTGTGCATGTAAAGCATCATTGAATCAATGGGTCTGTTGAAGAACTCAGCTGCTGGAAACCATGCAAAATGTTTTGAATTGCCCTTAAACTATGGAAAATGTTTTCTGAATGCTTTATATTCTTTCTGCTGTAAATTAAAAATGAAGAAAATTTCCCCATATTATGTGTGTTGTGTTGCTTTCGCTTGACCTGGTACTACCATCCAAGCTGGGCGGGCGTGTTTCAAACCATACGAAGTAACTGCAAGTACTTCCTTAGATCCAGATGTGACATTTTGACGTTGAATGTTTTATGTTGAATGTTTTATGTCCACGATGGGAAAAATTTCTTAGTAAATTCACTGTTTCTAGTAGAACACTTTCAACCATCTTCTCGGGCACGTCTCCTATCATTTGCTTTATTTGAATGATAAAGACACCAGTTTACATTTACCTTTTCAGGCCTGACCCATGAACCAGGAGGTCATGGATTCCCGGTCAGGGCACATGCCCGGGTTTTGGGCTCTATCTCCAGTGGGGGCAGGAGGCAGCTGACAAATGATTCCCATCATTTATGTTTCCATCTCTCCATCTCCCTCTCTGAAATCAATAAAAATATAAAGATAAATAAATTCCCCTTTTCCGTTAAAACCCTCAGTCATGTGTTAAAAGGCACTGTCCAGCTGACTCCTGTCCCAGAGCTTCAACTCTCTGGTGGTCCCTCCCCATCTCATCCGTCGCAACGCCACTGCCATAGACTGCACGCTCTGCCTGAGGCCTCGATGGTTTCTGCAGCCTACCACATTTAAAAGACCTTTTCCGTGTCTATCCAGTCTCCATTCCATCTTATTTCACCTGTGTCCCAGCCTGCACCCTCTGGTTGGTCTGTGCCATTTCCACTGTTTTGTTTTCTTGGTTCCTGGTCTTTGTCCATTGCCTGGAAAGTCTCAAATTCCACCTCCTCTGTGACACTGTCTTGTTTAATGTATACTAACATTTCACTTTTCAAATTGTTCCATTGACAGTTGGAAAAGGCAGGTTAATGTTTATTTTTCGTGTCTCATGTAACTTGCCAGATGACCTATTAGTGTTCTGTTTTTGAGGTAGGAGGTGCCTATGTTGGTAGAAATATTTTAATACAACCTGAAAGCACTGCAAAGTAACCCTCTGCATTCAGCTACGTGCCTCTGCCTCCATAGGATCAGAAGTTGGAGACCTACTCTGTGCTAGGGGCCCGGAATATGCAAGTGTAGAAACTACAGTTCCTATGTGCAATGACAAATATTTATTCGTGGCACGAATACGATGACAGTGAACCCAAACCAATCAATGTCTGATAAATGCCCCAAATGGATGCACATCTCATTTTAACAGGTTTGTTGGAAAAATGTGGGGTCTTCGGGGCTACTGGTTTCATGTGGGGAGTTGAGCAGGAACACACAGATGTCTCCAATGTAGTCACCGCCCGAGAAACGGCCCACCCTGGTTGACCTGCAGTCCCTCTCCTGTGCCTCATGCACCACGGCCCCCAGGGTCCGCGCGGGCGGCGGGCGCCTGGGACAGGAGCGGTCCATAACCCATCCGCACTCCGTGGGCAGATGGCGGCCCTCAGCACCAACCCAGCGCCTGGTGTGGCCCCGCCCCCAGCGCTCCGCCCCCGACACGCCCACCGCGGCCTGCCTCCCGTCCGCCTATCCGGCCCCGCCCACTCCGACACGCCCACCGCGGCCTGCGCAGCCTGTCCGCCTACCGGCCCCGCCCACTCCGACACGCCCACCGCGGCCTGCGCAGCCTGTCCGCCTACCGGCCCCGCCCACTCCGACACGCCCACCGCGGCCTGCGCAGCCTGTCTGCCTACCGGCCCCGCCCACTCCGACACGCCCCCCGCGGCCTGCGCAGCCTGTCTACCGGCCCC